TGAATCTGCGGTGCAGGGCCCGCCGCCACTGCAACCCTTGCCAGCAGCAACGACGGCTGGGGATGGAGGAGCGGGGAGGGGCTAGCCGCGCGGGATCGCGGGCCCCTGGCGCGCCCGAGGGGAGGCGACGCGAGGGAAAGGGGAGGGGAGCCTAATAAAAATGGAAGAGATTTTCATTTCCCTGCCTCTGCACCAACTAAGGATGCATACAACCATTTTAGTATGAGTACCAAGATAAACATGGTCCTCGGAAATTTCTAAATGAGTATCAAGTTATATTTCTTGATGAGTGGTTCCATCACACAACAAGCTTAATCCTTAATAAATGAAGGGAAACCCCTGTGCATCAATCAATTCTATGAATTAAACTCGGGTCGTTAGGCTGTACAATCGCATGTCCAATCACTGAGTCAAGGCTCTCTTTGCAATTGTGTCTTCAGTCTAGCTTGGGTTGAAACTCACTGCATGATACGTAGGAATATAGCACGTGGTGTGTGCTCCCAATGCTGCGCGTGCTTTACTTCCTGGGTCACAGTGAAGATGATCATTGAATATTTTGGTTTTTTCGGTGACATGTTACTGTACTCTTCTGTATACTAGATGCTAGCTCGCGCATTGTTGCGTGAACGTTTTACAATGTATTTTAATGAGAATTGGTTTATGCATATTTAAAGTAATAAATGAAAACTAAAACTAAAAATACGTACGCTTTATTGTGTTTGATTTAGGACAAACCTAGAACTCTTAAGTATTTTGGAATGGATAGAGTATTTCATTACTCTCTTTTCAACTACTTATTTTTCTTTCTTTTTTCTAATGAAGGAACTGCTGAAGACTCCAAGGGTACACATAATTCACATATATTATAGTCTTACGGATAGCATAGACAGGAGCCACTTGGGTGACTGGTCAAATGAGTACCAATCAGATGACGTGCTACTCCAGTTGTTACACGGAGTTTGGACAATCCATTCTTCCATGCCGTTCCAATTGGCTTTCGCCGGAGATTGATGGACACAACGAAAACGTCATCTCTATTTAATAAATGGTGTAAATCAAACTGACATACGTGGTCTCTTCGTCCCCCACTCACAAGTGTCTGTTCCACACTATCAAATGCATCATACATTAACAATTTCGGCACGTCCTAACAAACGCCCTACCATTTACACTTGGACAGGTAGGCGAGATCTACAACGGAGGTGGTTGAGGTTTGTAGTATGCACCTGCATTTGTGTTGGGAGACCAAGGAGAGCATTCGAGGATCTAATGGTCTCCATGTCCTGCCATCACAGTTTTATTCTACCCTCGTCAAGCACATGATGTGTGTTTGTAAAGTCTGTGCACTGGTCAAGCAAAAATTTCTTGTCTGTTGCGTTGATGGTATCAGATTCTGGTCAGTGTTGGATTAGGAATGGCGCGGAGAAAATCGTTAAGCTAGGTTCTGATTGCACCGATTAGTGTAGCGTTTGTTTACAAGTTTAGTTATGGGGTCATGTGTTCTCACTTATGCTATGTTCGTATGGAGGGAACATTTATGCTATTTTTTTTTCATGTTTTGACCCACTAATTTTTCACAAAAATACTACGAACGAACACTGTACATCCAGTTTCCCCTTTGAACTGTTGAGCAAGTAATTAAAGAGAAGTGGTATTGCTTTAACACGGCCACAAGTCTCTAACACATAACCAATATCTTGTGGAGTTGCAGGTCCATACATCAAAGATTTCTCAAATCTTAACCGCTTGAAATAAGCGGGTAGCTATCCCAAAAAACATCAACAACTCAAAAAAAAAAGGTTTCTCGAATCTTACTCATACTAAAAAAGTAAGGTGCTCTCTGAAAAATGTTTGTAGTGTTTTTTGTTTGCATGCGACCATATCCGAACAACCTTCTCGAGTGCTGATGTTCGCCAACATCCCCTATGCACTTTTCCCCCTGTTTTCCCCTTCATTTACATAGGTTTTCACCAAGTCTAGTGGTGGTCGTTTTGAGATGCTTCATCTGTCCCGAATTGATTGATGTTCTACTTTTGTCCTACGTCAAATCTCTTTAATTTTGACAAAGTCCGTATACAAATATTATCACTTACAACACCAAATTAGCTTAATTAGACTCATCATAAAATCAAACATATTTTCGTATTGTGTATATTTGCGGGGATGATGTTGTATATATTAACTCATTTTTCTATACAGTTAGTTAAAATGGAGACTTCTGACTTAGAATAAAGCTATATTTTAAATTGAACGGAGAATGTAAGCTCGTATTGGTCGGTGTTCATGCCGGCTAGAACGGTGAAGGTCTGAGCTCAGGCCCTTTTTTGACATCATGTTATCTCTACACACGTTCGATCGGTCAATATCCGGAGCCAGTTCAAAGGTCGTTGCAAAAAGAGGTTATTTCCTGCAAGACCTTACTTGATGAAGTATCAAAACATCTCGACTCCTTTGCAAAAAAGATAGGTCAATTTTATAGTTACAGAGAATTTACATGTATTCTTTTTGGGTACCTCCTGGAAGCCTTTAGGCCGTCCTTGGCCTCTTCTCATTTGGGAAAGAAGAGGAGGATCATACATTAAGTATTGAAGCCTCTTCTCCGGGAAGAAAAAAGTACGAAGTCTCCAGAACCAGAACACTTGTCTGCCTCGCACATATAGAATTCACAGAGATAATAACCGGGACCATCGATGTGGTTGTGGCTAACAATTGGTGCAAAAAAATTGGAGTATTTCTGCCTAACAGCTGTGTCCTGGCCACGATCCTATCCACACAGAGGGCAAAGAGACCCATAAGAAACACTCACATGCATAAATTAACACCCCCATGCATATGATGAACCAGATTATGAAAATAGTATGGCCGGGACACATCACCGTCGTTGATTAATGCATATGGTTTGGGCCTGATCATGGAGTCCTGGATGGCGTAGTGTAGGCATGAATGATTGGCTTGCATGCTCGCCGATCCCTGCCGTGCATCCGTGGTGGTCTCCAATTGCAACAGCATGGCCACTTTTCATAGGGCACAGCCTGTACCGGATGCACACCTTGCCATGCATGCCTTCCACATAGCGCATACACAACGTGCCTCTCCTCGCATCTCGCCAATTATTTGTTGCACAAGTAGAGTAGGGGCGGGGTAGGAGTGTGGCGTCAAGATTCTAAGCTCGGATCCCAAGCATCGATCAGTGTCCAAATTGGTAGGGGTACACTTATTCCGACATGATAACAACTACTCCCTCCGTCCCACAATATAAAGCTTTGCGTGGGATCGACTTCAGTTTTGGAAATAATTGTATTTTTCTCTCAAATATTATTATGGCAATTCAAATTTCGTGCATTTGGCGGAACCACAAATGCAGACCCCCGCAGGCGCTATTGGGTTGGCCATGTAGGTCGGTTCTTTTGGTTTTGAAAAGATTTTGTTTGGTTTTTCTTTTTCCTTTTTTTTTCTCTACAATTTTCATGTTTTTTTGCTGCTCATTTTTGTATTGTTTTATTTTTCCAATTCACGATTTTTTTTCAAATTTATGAATGATTTTTTAAACTCAGGAACATAATTTAAATCCTTGAACATTTTTTCAAACTTAAAAATGTTTTCTTCAAAATTGATGAACATTTTTTTGGAAAATCTGTGAAGTTTTGTTCATATTCATGAGCATTTTTAAAATTTACATAAAATAAGTAAATGTGTGAATACTTTTTAAAAATCCATAACCATTTTTAAAATTGTAAACAATTACAAAATTCGTGAACACTTTTTAGAATTCATGAATATTTTAGTTTTACAAACATTTTTCAAGACGTGTGAACTTTATGCCCAATAATTGTAATGATTCATCTTTATGCCCAAATCATATTTGTAATGTACTCACATGCACTACTGCACGATGAAATAATGGTACTCCTACTATTTTGCCTGCGTCATTTTTAGATTTCTGGATATTCAAGATCGTGGCTACCATGTGTTTGCTACATTGTTATTAACACATGGTATGCTACAAAGTTATGACAAGTGTGAAGAGTAATGGAGGCAATTATTCTGTTAATGATTGCAGTACTATACAAGAAGCACATTGTTTGGTGTAAAAGACACAATGGTTTCACCTAAACATCCACATATACATTTCTGTTTGGTGACACTCTTCGAGTACCGAGTGGCGAGTTGCAAGGCGAAAAATCTAAGCCTAATCTTTGTTGGATGTATCTGACAATGGTGACAAATACATGTTGTTTTCTTGTTGGACTGCTCGGAGATTGTTGTAGAACCTAAGGGTTTTAGTATATAAGCCGGGTAGTCTCCTTTCTATTGTGTCTTTGGACCGGCTATACATAAATCGTCTCAAAATTTATTTTCGTAAGTCGATTTTCTTGGCCATTAGATTAAGATTTGTCTTCTTTCTCCAGCTTTCCTTCTCGTCTAACCGCTCCTCCTCCCATAAAATCGACTTATGCAAAATTGCAAATTCAGTCAACTTACATATAGGTACTGTGCCTTTCTAAACATGTGAAGAGAAAAATGCAGGTCAAAGAAAATAAAGAGAAATGGAAGTACTCTATAAGAAACACATTGCTTGGCCAAAAAGCCATAGTGGATTTGCCCAAAACTCTACATATAATCAGCCCGTAACTTAAGGCTGTACACGACATGTTAGGATGGAAAGCGTAAGCATGGAGCAAATTTGTGTATTCACCCAGCATAAGGATCAAGGCACTCTCTGGATCCCAAATTTCCAATCATGCAGCACACATCTACTAACACTTTTGAGTACAGCACAGAGGCAGAGCCATACCAAGAAGAAATGAGGAAAATAATACTAAAATGAAGTCACTGTGGCAGAGGCAGGGGTATATAAAGCACCACTCCGCCCGCCACTACACCAACACATCAACATCTCGAGCTCCCTTTCCGCTCGCCACCATCTCGCCTCTAAGAAACCAAAACAACAGAAGATCATCACAAGACTCAAATCAAGGAACATCATTGCAATTCACAACATGAAGAAGCCATCGACGCTTCTCCGATCGCTCTCTACGCGCCTCTCTGCGCGGCTCGCGCCGTCGCCGGCGGTGGCTCCCTGGCCGCCGGTGCGCTCCGCCTACGACCGCTGGCTGGCCGCCGAGCTCGACGAGCTCCGCGCCGACCCGATCGCCCCGTGCACCAGCGCCGCCTGGCTCGGCCGCGCCCTCGGCCTCGCCGCCGCCGCGCAGAGACGGCTCGTCGCGTCGGCGACGCCGGCCCCGCCGGCCGGCATTGACCGCAAGACCATCGACGAGTGCGTGGAGGACACGGCGGAGCTGCTTGACGCGTGCGCCGGGCTCAGGGCCCGCCTCGACCTGATCAGGAGCTACGCCTCCTCCATGCGCATCGCGCTGCACTGGCTCGAAGGCCGCGGCGGAGGGGCGACCGCGCGGCGCCGCGCGGCCGCGGCGTTCGCCGAGTGCGAGGCCGTGGAGCGCCGGTGCGGCGCGGAGCTCGCCAAGTGCGGGTCCAACCTGCGCAAGCTCGGCGAGAGGGCGCTTCACGCCAGGCACCCTTCCGGCGGCAGGGCGCAGTGCGAGGAGTCCCTGGCCGGCGCGCGCGCGGCGGCGCTTCTTGCCGTGGGAGCCCTCGGCGTTGCGCTGGCGTTCCGGTCGCGCCGTGCCGTTCCCGGCATCGCGCACGCCGGCGGCGGCAAGGCCGGAGCGGCGCCCTGGGAGTGCGCGCTCCAGGAGGTGCAGAAGCACGTCAAGGACGAGTACGAGCGCCGCAGGAAAGAGGGCGTGCCGTGCATGGCCGAGCTCGACGCCGCGGCCGCCGACGGCCGGACGGTGAAAAGCGCGCTGACCACGGGCGGCCGGCACCTGTCGGAGACCGCGGTTGCGGCGGCGAAGAGGAGGTGCGACGAGCTGGAGGAGAAGGTGTCTGTGCTCGAGGAGAGCGTCGGCGAGCTGCATAGGGAGCTCATAAGCGTTAGGATGGTGCTCTTGGAGTGGTCACAGAGTGCAAGAGGGCATGAGGTTCTCAGGTTGTGAAGGATTAGATTACTGATGAACAACCACAGAAACGATCATAGAAATCCGTGTACATATGGATCTTGAATTTTTGAGAGATATTATTAATCTCAATCAATTCTGTGTCCAAACTCTTGGGAGATTGAAATCATAAGTCGTGGAAACCTTTCTACCACTTGAAAGGATGGCCATGTTGAATAATGTGTTGTAGAACTTAGGGCCTTTTTCAAACAAAAAAATTTATGGCCTTTCTGATTCATAGAATTCTCAAAACGCAGCAATAGGAAAAATATGAGATCGCAGTGGCATGCTCATTTAAATTCTATTGGATTCTTGCTTGTTTGATCGTATCACGGAAAAAACAAAGTATTCCTTCCAAGAGATTTGAGCGGATGATAAATTTCCTACGAAATGTAGTACAAAGGAATCTCTAGGAAAAATCCCTATATGTTTCAGTCTTATGAATCCATGACAAACATATGAAAATTATAAGGATTCTAACCATCCAAATTCATAGAAAGTCCTTTAAGTCGAAGGAGCCCTTGAGTTATTCGAAAAAACAAAGGAGCCCTTGAGTTTGCCTTTTTGTTGTTGTTGCTAATAACCACATTTGATTTGATTTTGACAAAGTAGGTACATGCACTGTACTTTTTTAGACTGTTCATTACCATTTTGCCTAATTAAAAAAACCAGACCGAACCGGCGGTCAAACCAGGAAAAACCGGAACCGGTGGCCTCAATAGTTCTTTAAGCTAATAAGACCGTTATATAGAAAACCGGTTGAACGGGCCGGTTTTCTAGAAAACCAGTGAAAACCCAGGCCATTGAACCGGAAAAAATCAAGAAAATATTCTAAAAGAAATTGGCAAAAGTGGAATTCGATCCCAGGTCATGTGAGGCTTGCCCACGCCCCAATAACCAATTCAGCTGTACCACTTTGTTGTCCACTACATATAAAAAAATGATTTATTGTCTAAAAAAACATAAAATGATTTTCCCAGCAGAGTGCCAAGTAAAAGTGTAAATTACACTACTAATTGAATCCTAATTTTTGAATTTTCATTAGGTATTCTTTCCGGCATAATGTGTATTTTTTTTAAATTTCACAGTAGAATTAAGTACACACACAGAGAAAGCGAGAGACGATTTGTAGCACGTAGTACGACTGGGCAGGTGCGCGCCCCTGCGTGTCCTGCGAAATTCGAGAGAGAGAGACAGGATTTATAAAGTTTTGGTCATTGCATGCATTGGAGTGTTGCTTTGAAAAACAATTAATACGCTCAAAGGATAACTTGTTAAATTCTTTTTATGAAAAGGATCACATCTATCATAAGAATTCATCGGAAGTACAAAGCATGTCAAACATAATAAAAATTACACCGAGATTCCAAAACCACTGAACGACCAGTACTGCCGCCAGAATGATCCGCCGATGCTTCACTGTCGTCGCTCCATTATCGGAGCCGGCTTGACCTTGTCGATGACTATCGGAAAGTCTTCGTGCACAAGCCCCCTAAGGACCGACACCCTGAATCCGCAGGCGTCGCCACTGAACCATTGCATAAATCTGAAGCACCTGACACAAAATCTTGCCACATGATGGGAAAGCCTAACCTCACCGTCCCAAGAAGACGAATGAAATCTATGCTGGAACACCATCGGCTACATCAAAGGATAACTTTTAACTTGGCCATATTACATCCGCAACAATCTTCTGAATTTTCACCACGACCGATACATGTTTGAGGAGTGCAACAAATTATTGGCTACCAGAGAATCGGGTGCCTTGGTGTATTATACTCCCTCCGTTCCTAAATATAAGTCTTTGTAGAGATTTCATTATGGACTACACACAGCTGTATATAGACGTATTTTAAAGTGTAGATTCACTTATTTTGCTTCATATGTAGTTTTTTATTGAAATCTTTAAAAAAACTTATATTTAGGAACAGAGGGGATATATGTCGAATGCATGCATGGCAAGGTGTGCATCCAGTGGGCAGTGGCCATACATGCTGCTGCAATGAGAGACCACCACGGATGCACGGCCATGATCGGTCGCGTTTTGGAACCAATCATTCAAGCTACACACTAACACACACAGACACACCATCCATGATTAGAATGAACCATGTACTACTATTAAAAAAAAACCATGCATCCGTGTCTCCGTGATGTGTCACAAGGATCATGCGCACTTGGATAGAATAGCGTTTGCTATGGTTCCATTAACCTCTTGTGTGGACAGGCCCTGAGCAGTATCCAGACACAACACACAGCTGTTTGACAGAAGTTCTATGCAGTTTTGTATAAACGGCCTAAGCTAGCTAGGCCGCATCAATTGTTAGGCACAATCAGATGGTCTCTGTTTTTATTGTTTAATGAATTCTATATGTGGCAGGCAAAACATGGAAACATCTGTAATTAAAAAGCAATATATGATCATGTGCAATGAGAGGTGGGAAATATGTGGCTTTGTTTTACTTCCGCAAGCTGGGAGTAGCTAACATGCACCACATGTTTTTATGCGCTATTTTTTCAAAAAGAAACAAAGTATAGACATGGACGCTCACAAACACGCAATTCACCCATATAAACGCACACACACGTTTATTTTGCAGATATTATAAATATTTTCTTAACCTAACTTTACATGTTCCCTCCACACAGACATGACATGCGTATGTACTGCTTACCTACGAGAAGAGTGCTAATTAGCGCATTCAGAACCTAATACCCCGGGTTAACTGAACAACTTATTGGCATCATTTAATCCAATGCAAATTATGCAGAATCTAGTATCCTCAAGCCAAGTAGCCCGGAAGACCAACAAAATTCTTCATTTTCAATAGAAAAATAAGCGGTGATCCACGTCTTGGTTGCAGCCATTACATCTCTCGGCACCTATCATGTGCTCAACAACATGGGATAATTAATCACACTGGCGGCAAGATGGAGACCACTAGAATTATGGATGCTCCTTGGTCTCCTAATGCAGATGCAAAAAAGCCCCCAACAACCTTTTTATAGATCTCATTTAGTTCCTAATACGGGATTGTGCATTGAACTGGAATCATTAACTTTAGGTGATGCATGTCTGTTTACATGGCACCAACACTAAGTGAGTGGGAGATGAGGTGAACACGTATATCACTAGGTACAACACCACTATAATACTCCCTCCGTTCACTATTATAAGATGCTCTAACTTCGTTGAGATGAATATAAACATATTTTAGTGTGTTTGTTCACTCACTTCAGCCTATATGTAGTCCAATAAAATATCCAAAACATTTTATATTTGTGAACTGAGGGAGTAGCATTTTCTGAAAAATATTTTTGTTTTATATATCAATTCTTTAGAGGAGTTGTTTTAACTCCATGTACCAGCAGGGGCAGTTAGTCATCTGACTGGAGTGTTCGAAGAAATCAAGATGCTCGAGTGTTGGAAAAATTTACCATGGCCATATGACAGTATGTCATGTGTAATCAGCCGGGCAGAGCTAGATGAACAGCAACCAACAGTTTTGTAGCGACAGCAGCCGACCACCGGGGAATAACGTTAAAAGCAGACTAATCAAAATGTGCCGATGCTTAAGGAGAGGAACGTTTTGGGGCAGAGCAAATCTTATCGGCGATCCTTTTGCTGCTCTGCTGCTAGGCACATGAACGGAGTCTAGTCTTTTGGGTACGACCAACCGTCCTTTGGTGCCGTACTCTTTGGGGAAAAGCCGGAAAGTAAGATCGGGTTGGAACAAAGTAGCTGCTCAAAGCTAGTAGTGTTTTTTATACTAAAATCTTAAATTATACTCTATTTGGCAAAACCATGAAAATGAAAACATAAAGCGTTAAACAAGATTATCATAATTCACCATAATAACAAGCTTATGTTGTTTAGTGACAAGCTAGTTCGGTGCATTAAAAAAATCGGTGCATGATCTGGAATGAAACATGAGATTTATGTAATGTATGCAAGCATCAATAACTCTAGTCTTCGAGATGATAAAATACGATGATAAGAAAATTAGATACAAATGCAATCAAACGAGGCCATTTGCGGCCAAAGTAGGTGGCAGCCAAACATTTTCAGTAGTAGTTGAACAAAGATATTATGACAAGCTGTTAACAATTATTTTCACAAACGAATGGTTATTATGGAAAAATAAATAAATGTTTTTTAGCTGCGATAACAATTTTTTAATGAATAATAAACATTTATGAAATCCTTAATAATGAAAAAGTAACGATTGTTTTAGTGAATATTTGTTTTGTTGGATACGGCAACTCCATAATCCAGAGTGAACGCAACCTTTTTTGTGTGTATGTACGTAAATGAAGTGGAGAAAAGAGGAACGACAAACAAATATAGGAAAAGAAAGTGGTGGCTAAAGAAAAACAACAACAGACAACAAGAAAAAAACACATGAAAAGAAAGAAATAATAAAAAAAGGATCAATGATGGAAAATAAAAAAACTGCCGTGACAAATCATATGTATCTCAAACATCACGAGCTTGTTGTGATATTCGATCAGAGGCACTAAAAGGCTAGCCCATATAACCCCCATCATAATAGGGGATTTTCCGCTTACTGTTTGTAGTAATGTTGCATATAGGCAAAAACAACTTTATTACTAGCAGGGAGCACAAAAAATCACACTTTTATAATAAATGTAAACACAGAAAAATGGTAGAAAAAAGCCATGTATAAAAGAAATAATAATAATATCATGTAAGAAAAGCAAGTAAATAAATAAGGAATACAATAGAAACAGGAAAAAGAACAAACGAAAAAAGAAGACAAAATGACTATAGCTACTAGACACCACGACTACTACTGATTTTCCTGCCTAATCTATGTTTTAGAATGACCTGCAATTTTTTGATTTTTTTAAAATACTGTCTGAAAATATGTTTTTTAATATGTGTTGTTATTTCATTTTCTGAACATTACAAGAAACATGAACAATTTTTAAATTGCAGGAATATTTTCCTGGAAAAACATAAAATCCAAAAAAAACGC